ATTTTTTTTAATATATATATATATAACGTTTCTGTCCCCCTCACTTCTGAAATGATGGTTACGCCCCTGTGTGTGTGTGTGTGTGTGTGTGTGTGTGTGTCTCACTCTCTGTCTCTCTCGCTCTCTCTGAATGTGTCTTACTCTGATTTTCTGATTCTGTTTTACTAGAGTGAAAACAGAAAGGTAAAGTGTCATTTTTTATATTAATATACTGAATTCTCTGATTTATGCAGAGAATATAATACACACTGTATATAGAATGCATACAGTAGGCTAGATATGCTTATGTATATATATATATATAACATTTTAAATTTGTACAATTAAAATGTACTTAATATGTGTGTGTGTGTATACTGTATGTATGTATACACACACACACACACATATATATATATATATATATATACAGGCTTGTTGTCACTAGTTTCACTCTAAAATACGATATGTTACCAAAGTCTTTTTACATTGACGGTAACTTTACGTCACCGGTTTGACCAGTGTCAGTGAGTTCTTCTCAAGTTCTGGACCTTTTTCATTTTACGACTCGATCAGTTTTGCGATCACCTGATGAAAGAGTCTGTCGCTCGTTTAGCACTCTTTGTGGTTTCATTCGTCTGAACTTCTTCAATGATTTCACCGATTACCGTAGCTTGCTTTGGTAACCTCGCCTCCAGACTTACCATCTTCCCTCGTAATTACAGCCCACGTCGTCAGTTAGCCCAGACTGTGTTATAATTGCCCATGTCGTTTGGTAATTAAGCTAGCAGGCATAATTTAGGTTGTCCCCGTGGGTGACGGTGGTCCGCTTGTTGTCTATTTATCGTACGCCCTCCGTAAACCTCTTTCCGTGTAATGAGGTGTGCTAATTGCCGTTGTTAAGATGCATTTTATAGCCACGTTAGTCATACTGTGTTGTTTTGAAACGCTGGGCAAAATCATCACTGGACTAAGTTGTTAATTAAGCCATTATTCTGAGCCGAACTCGCCGTTTTTTTTTTTCTCTCTTTCTGTCATCTTTTGTGGACACTGAGGTATAAAAGGAAGAGTTCATCCATAAATGAACATTTGCTGAAAATGTATTCACCCTCAAGCAATCCAAGATGTAGCTGAGTTTGTTTCTTCATCAGATTTGGACAAATTTAGCATCACATCACTTGCTCACCAATTGATCCTCTACAGTGAATGGGTGCCATCAGAATGAGAGTCCAAACAGCAAACATGCAGCTTTTCACTTCACAAGACATTAACTGATGGACTGGAGTGGTGTGGATTACTTGTGGATTATTGTGATGTTTTATCAGCTGTTTGGACGCTCATTCTGACGGCATCCATTCACTGCAGAGCATCCATTGGTGAACAAGTGATGCAATGCTAAATTTTTCCAATTCTATTCTGATATAGAAACAAACTCATCTACATCTTCAGTAAATTAAAATGTTTGGTCAAACTATTCCTTTTATAATCTCTTTTTGTCAAGTTGGTCATTGTAACCACACACACAACTTACTTCTTGGAGGCTTTCTATAGCTTTTGTAATTGACTAATCAATTCTAGTCCTAAATGACTGATTTTACAGAGCAACTGATTGATGGGTTTTGCCCGTCTCAATCCAGCGTGGCGTGTAAGTCTCTCTTCTTGTTTTGCAGATATTATTCATGAACAAGATTGATCTTTTCCAAGAGAAGATTCTCCACTCCGGGCATCATCTGCGGCATTACCTTCCCCAGTTCAGAGGTGAGAGACGGATCTATGATTACACATGAATCATGTTTACTTTCTCTGAAAGAAAGTTATTTATTATTTACTTCAGCTGCTCGCAAAGTTATATTTGTTCGTTCATGTCCTTTATTAAAGCTCAGGATTGGCAAGCATTTCTATCTTCTACTGCTCCCAAATGCATTCTTTCTTTTATTGGTTTGTTCTCTGATTTAGTTTGTTTCATTCATTTGATAGTTCACTTTCTTTTGTTTGCTTCTTTCTTTTTGTTCTTTCATTCGTTTGACTTCCATTCATTTTCAGCATTTGTGTGGTTCATTCATCTACTTTTATTTGTTCTTTTCCTTTTTTCTTTCATTCAATTGTTTGTTCTTGATTTCATTTGTTTGTTTCGTTCGTTCATTCCTTTGTTCTTGTTTTGCTCATTCATTTCTTCTCTTTTGTTCATTGTCCTTCGTTAGTTCATCTTATTTTCCCAGTTTATTCTTTCATTGTTTGTTTGTTCATTCTATTTAAGTTGTCTCTTTCTTTTCTTAGTTCACTCTTTTGTTTGTTCTTGTTTATTAATTCTTTCTCTTTTGGTAATTTGTTTTTGTTCATTCTCTTTTGTTGTTCATTCTCTCTCTGTGTTCTTTTGTTTGTTTCATTCTCTTTTTGTTCCCAGTTCATTTGTTTATTCTTTTTCAGTTATGTGTTTTTCTTTTAATCATTTATTTATTTTTGTTCTTTTTTATTTGTTTGTTTGTTCTTTCTTTTTCATTCATTTGTTTTGTTTTTTGTGTTCTTGTTTTTTTTATTCATTTGTTTATTCTTTCTCTTTTTTATTTGTTCTTTCGTTCATTCAGTCCTTTAATTTTTCTTTTCTATTTTGTTTGTTCATTTTCTTTTTTCCAGTTTATTCTTTCTTGTTCGTTCATTATTTTTTAATTGTTTGTTTTTCTTCTAGTTACTTTATTTTCCTTCTGTTAGTTCTTTCTTTTTTTGTTTGTTTGTATCTTTGTCATTTATTTGTCCATTTTCCTTGATTTTGTTCTTTCATTTGTTTGTTCATTTGCTTTTTTCATTCCCTTTTGTCTTCTCTCTTGTTTGTTTTATTCATTTATATGCTATTTCTTTATTTTAGTTGTTTGTATTCTTATGTTTGTTCACTTTCATTTGTTTGCTTACTTTCTTTGCTTCTTTCTTTCTTTCATCCTTTTGCCTTTTCTTTCGTCCTTTCGTCCTGTAGCACTTTCCTTCCATTAAGACTGAATCCACCATGTCGGCTTGGGTTTGTAGTTTGGCCGTTTAATCGGCTGGAATGGATCCTGTAGTTTTTGCCTCAGGGAGAAAAGGTCAAGATGGATGAGGCTGGAAATTTCTTGCATGACATTGTCTTCGCTCTCCCCTCCTCCCGCTGCCTCCCTGACACTTGTATATGACAAAGTTAATCCCACTTCATAGAAGATTACAATAAAACCTTTTCACAACTACATTTCACCTGTTAATTCAGATAGACCCAGAAGTACTGTACATGCATCATGCAAATGTAAATTGAAGATTTAGAGATTAATCCCATTCATCAATCTTGCAGTTTGAAGCAGATCTCGTCAGATATTCATAGACTCTCACTTCATTTTTTTGGTTAGCTTTTTTTTTTATGGAGAAAACGTCAATTACTTTCACTTCGCCTTTCTTCTCTCTGATACAGGGTTTCCTTTTAATGCATAATTCATCATTGATAAATTCATATGTTTTTGTGGCAGTCTCCTGTTTTGTTTTTCAAACCAGTTGTTATTGAACTGGATTCATGTTGATATATGTTTTGAAACTGATTTATAGCTTATATATTCCTTGGAGAAATTACTTTTGCACCCATGCAAAGGAAAATATTTATATTTCACCTTCTCTGAAGTATATATATATATATATAATGCATTAATTGTAATGCATACTATCTGCAAGATAGTACAACCTATAATTATTATTTTTTTAATTATAACAATTGTATTTTTAATACATGCATATTTTTACATAAATATTTTATATATCCAAATGGTAATATTATTAATATATAATAAATATAAATTATTACTTTTATTCAGCATGAACACATTAAATTGATTAAAAGTGACAGTAAGGGCATTTATAATGTTACAAAATATTTCTACTTCAAATAAATGCTGTTGAACTTTTGAACTGAGTAAAAATGTATCAGTTTTCAGAAAATATTAAGCAGCAAAAACTGTTTTCAACATTGATAATAATAATAAATGTTTCTGGAGCAGCAAATCAGCATATTAGAATGATTTCTGAAGGATCATGTAACACTAAAGACTGGAGAAATAATGCTGAAAATTCAGCTTTGCATCACAGGAATAAATTACATGTTACAATATATTCAAATAGAAAACCATTCATTTAAATTGTAATAATATTTACATGTTTTCACTATATTTTTGATCAAATAAATGCATTTGGTGAGCACAAGACACTTTTTTTCACAAACATCTCCCTGTGATTTTGTTCACAGGAGCTGACTGTGACGTGGATGCTGCCGCCCGGTTCATCGCCGCAATGTTTGTGTCTCTCAACACGACACCCAGCAAACTCATCTACCACCACTTCACCACAGCGACCGACACCTCCAATGTACAGGTAGTTTTCCAGGTCGTTATGGACACCATCATCAAGGAAAACCTGGAGGCCGTGTCTCTGCTCTGAGAACCATTCCTCCTTTAAAAACTCAATAAAGACTCGCGGAGGAGTCGTTCACAATGCTGATGGTATTTATTATATATGATGCTCTGATATTAATCAGAATGGAGTGACTACACACTTTTCATGACGCAATAACCAAATAAATGCCGGTTTATATTCTTCTTACTTAAACACAAACTAACAAAATGACAAAATATCTAATAAAATGCAATAATCTTGCATATTTTTGCATATGCATATTTTACACTGTGAAAGTATATAAAATGGATTTAAAGAGTAAATCATGCTCTCTTGGCGGTGGTCGAGTTGCTCGTCCGAGCATCCCATAATTTTCCACCTGACATCCCCTACTTCCTGTATGTGCATTACCATGGTTAATCATCACTTATAAATTATTTTCCCCTTGTGTGCATCTTTGCTCAACATGGTCCGTTCAGAGATTGAACACCCTGTCAGTTCAGAAAGAGTCCAGTGTGTTGTTTTTGAGTTTTTTTTTGCATTATGAATCATGTTTTGCTTTTGACTTATTTGTGATCCAGCACTTTTATAGTTGTTGAGTTTTGGTGATTCAATCTGAAAAGGATTTGTTGTACCAAGGTGAGCCAAACTCACATATTACACACTATGAAGTCTATATGAAGCATAATCATACCTGTAGCAATTTTTCTTTTTGTAAATACATTTGAAATAATGTTGCTTTATCCGTTTATTCATTGAGATTTGGTTGATATAAAATGTATTTTTGCTATTTAAATGCTGTATATTACGCCACTTTTTAAAAGCATTCAAGTTAAATTCCAGTTACACTTTTGTGAATGCAAAAAAGCCACTGTGAATAGAAACATCATTAAAAACTAACATTAATGTGTTTGATATTTTTTGTGCTGATTTCTCACACAATGAACGGTATAAAACAAATCACGTCAGCGCAAATCCACAACACAAGCGTACACAGAATGAATGGTATATCTTTCAAGTTTAATAAAAGAAAGAAAACATCTTTGAAAGTTTTTGCTCATAACAGTGAAATATTTTTATGAATATTTAATACATCTGAAAGTCTAGGTACAGGAGACTGGTTGGACGCAGAGGAGAACAGATTGAACAGAAAATACCACCATTTTGTTTCTGTGGATATTGTATTTTTCCATTTATATATTTAAAGCCGCTAACTTCACATTGTGTGATCCAGGGTTGCTCAAAACAGCTCTCCGAGATCTGTTTTCCTGCAAAATATAGCTGAAACTAAGTGTGTTCACACTGGAAGTGACTTGAATTCAGTTTGACTTCACTTATAGCATTTCCAATACACTAAACTAATATCAATCTCTTTACTGTACATTTTAATGTAGGCCTATTGATGCCCAATTTCACTTGAGTTTTTGTGTATCCAAAACCGTTTCAAACTTATTTATAACCTACGTAAGAGTGGCCGCGGCAATTTCAGGTTATTTTTGAGAGGTACAACAGTTATGCTGCTTGATATTGCAAACTTGCATATCTTATCATATTATTTTAATGCAGTATCGTAATTATAAACATATGGGTTTGTATCGCATACCGTTTTTACCGTTTACTGCACTTTTTTTTTATTCTTCCCGGGCCGTTCTTGGTATTTACCTATAGCGACTAATGAATGGAAAGTCTCGCACATTCACAGACCTCAATCAGTTGGGTGGATTTACAATATCAATCAGAATGAAAATGATTATTATTGATACAGAACTAAACTTTGCAGGAAAGCATATCTTCAGGAGCAGCGCTGAACATCCCTGGTGTAAATCAAGTAAACATTCAATGTCAACAGCGCGCCTCCCTGCCTTGGCTGTAAATACTCCTGAAATGGAAGAGATGTTCGGGTCGGGAGGGAGAGAGACGGGTGCCGCTCAGGAGGAGAAGCAGTCCAGCGAATCGAGCGAGAGAAACACGTCTGCTTTGCACCGAAATGTGCTCGAACCGTCCTCAACCAGCTCGCAGCTCTGTAGGTTTGGAGAAACGTCCTTCACGCAGATGGCCTGAGGGGGGAAACGGCACGGTAAAAGTTAATGGAAGTTATGATTCTGATTGATGCCTGAATTGACGTTTACGTCGTTCATAAATGTTTTTTTTTTGTTTGTTTGTTTTTTAAATAAAGAAAACACAAAATCAGAAATAAAAAAGATCATATTGTCTACATTTAATCTGACTCAAATACAGTTTTAATGTAAAATTCTTCAATTTAATGAGCTTTTTCTGTGCTTGAATTGAAATTTTTCTTATTTATATATATATATATATATATATATATATATATGTGTGTTAGTGCTTCGTATCTGAAGATTTGTCCGTTTTAATGCAATTATGGGAGTCAAAAATAATTTGTTTTGCTCATGCTAGTCCAATAAAATAAGTTTTTACAGAGTGTGTAGAGACACTACCCACCTAAATGGTGTACATAATACACTTTTTGTTGCTTGAGAACGTAATGCATTTTCTGGCTGTTGCGTAAAGTTGTTTTTCCTCCAATCTCCTCATACATCTGTTTGCGTTCAGTGCCATGAGGAGCGTGGGCCAAAGCACATGTTTTGCAGTGTTGTAATGGTATGCGCGCAGCAGTTATCATTTGCATAAGAAAAACATAACTGTTGTGATTTTTTCATCAAATAAAATAGAATTTACCATGTTTTTAAGGACTGGAGTTTGTCTGCTGCTGAAGTCGGGCATCACGCTGTTGGAGACGCCGGGGGTCTCGCTGCTGTCCTGCTCTGATTCTGTCTCAGATCGGCGCATATACGGCGACCTCCGGATCCCGGACAGCAAACCCGAGGCTCTCCCGACGGAATAGTAGCTCGGCCCGGTGGACTGCTTGTACCAGGCGTCTGTAGGATGGCTCGAGATGAGGATGGAAACAGCCACGAACACCAGCACGGATCTGACGGACCTCTCCATTGCGCACTTCACCTAAACGCGTGTGTTGTGATCTGTGATGCCTCGTAGCTTTTGGATTGATGTTCTCCACATCTGGAGTTTATATAGACCCCTCGGAGTCGTGATCTCGTTCGTCATTCCCCACTTAAGATGATTCATATTTCCGGCCAATAGGATTGATTTGCGCATCTTTGCCCGTTTGGAGACGGCTGGGGAGCCTTTAACGTCAGGTAGATGTGATTTGTGATGGGTTAATATTGTTTCTCTGTCACCGAACCTGTCTATATTGATCAATAAACGTCTTTCTGGCGTCACAGCGCAAATTAGAAAAGAGAAAATCCCGTGCGTAAAGACGCACATACGCATGAACCAGAGAATAACAGTATCCAATATTTTTTAAATAATTGCTATAGAATAGAAGAAAATGAAATCTAAGTGCGTAGTACCTGAAAATGTAGTCTCATTAATAAGTGATTTAAAATATTGACTTGTTGACTTCTCTATAATTACACCTTTGGGTACACATGACGCGGATTAACCACGTTGACAGATTTCTAAATAGTTTAAGTGAGAGAGCACTTTCAATATAGTATTTCAGACAGCTTTAACAAACTTGTGAGCTAATAAAGAAAAACAATAAAAAGCAAAAATATTATTTTGAAATCTAGTTCCTTAGGTATCTGAGTTGACATTTAAGAAGCCAAATAGTAATGTATATAATTATTATTATTAAATATGATTAAAAATGCTAGGATAACAATGTTGTATTATATTGTTATGATTATTATTATTAATACAAAAATACAAAAAAATAATTTTGAAATGTTGTTCCCTAGATATCTGATGACAAGAAGCCAATATGTGTATAATAATAATAACTATTATTATTATTATCATTAAAATATTCTTATTATATGATGACATGACATTATTAATAATAAAAATAATTAAATACAAAAATGAAATTTTTAAATGTTGTTCCTGAGAATAACAGGTATCTGAGATGAAGTATATAAAAGTGTATTAAAATTACTGATTAATGATTAAGTAAATAAATATCTATGACAAATGAAACTAGTAAAGCAGAGGACATGTATATGGAATCTATGGTAATGAAAACACACCAGTGCCAAATCAAATATCAAATATTTTCAAATAAAGAAGAGATAATATAAAGAAAAGAGATTTAAAAAAAGATGCGGTAATGTTAACTTTTAGTTGTTAAAATGTTTATTAACCTTTTCAATATAAAAACTACAAATACAATCTTACAGTTCTCATATTAAACCATTTAAACAGTGAACCTGAAGCATGAAAAGATTAAAGTTTATACAGTTTCCTCTTAAGTTTTAGGCACTCATAGTCCATTGTACAGTAGTCTGCACTGCGGTTCAGGCTTGGTCTCGAGGACCGCATCCGGCTCGCACACCCACGGATCCTCCGTTTGCCACTGCCACTTCAGCAGCTGATCCTTCAGGCTCTCCAAAACCGGGGCGTAGGCCGGGTCACCTCTCCGTCGGATCCGACTGGATGTCAAACAGCTCCCACCTCTCCCGGTAGTAATACTCTTTTAGAGTCTTGAACCAGCCTGTGGGCTGGCCTGACTGAGTCCGGTTTAACAGATCCTGGAAGGTAGGGGACACATAGAAGTCCTGGTCTATAGGGAAGGGCATGCGGTAGTGCATGTTGTGTAGGAGCCGGTAGCGGCCCTGGTGGATGGTGCGCATTGGGTAAAACATAGTGACCTCATGGAGACTCTGGCTGGCGTAGACGGTGACCCAGGACGGTTCTGAGATTAGGGCCGGGAGAAGAGACCGACCCGTCAACTCAATCGAACGGCCCCCTGAGAGACTGTACGACGGATACGGCAAAGAAAACCAGTCCAGTATGGTGGGAGTGATGTCTGGGAAAAAAGTGAGAGATGCTGTTTTACAGTGTCATACAATTAACTCACAAGTGGTAAAAATAGAAAATGTCATTACACTGGCAATAATCTGTGTGTGAATATAAAGATATGACCTTAAACATAGAATCAAGTGTGAAATGGTGCAATAGTGAGGGACGCAATTTTTAATATTGTATGAACAACTTGTGATTCGTACAAATAGAAAGAAAATGTTGTTACATTGGTAATAATCTGTCGGTAAACAGAAAGAAATTATCTTAAACAGAATCAAGTGCAAAAATGTGCAATAATAAGGGACGCCATTTTTTTATGTAGTACGAACATCTTGCGTTTCGTACAAACAGAAAAAAATTGTCATACGCATATGCTGCATTGGTAACAATTTGTTGTACGGTAGAATTATATCTGTACTATTATCTAGACTTAAAAACGAGTGCAAAAAGGTATAATAGTGAGATGCAATTTTTCTAAATTTGTACATAAACTTGCTATTTGTAGAAAAATAATCAGTCGTTCGCATAAATTACGTTGGAAACAATGTCATTCAGTAGAAAGATAACTGTACGATTATCTGGACTCAAAAGACAAAAACAAGAGCAAAAAGTTGTAATAGTGAGAGCTATTTCCCCAAATCTGTATGAAAAACCGCTATTAATAGAAAAGGAAATTGTCGTACACACACACTACGTTGAAAACAATCTGTCATTGGGTAGAAAGATAGTTATAGTATACTATCTAAACTCAAAAACAGAAGCAAGCACAAAAAGGTGCCGCAATAATATGGAAAAATAAATTATTGTACATTATTATTGTTGTTTTTTTATTGACCTAAATTTGTAGCTTAGGAGAGAGTTGTTGACTCATTTAGTCTAAAATACATAAATGAGCTTCAAAAGCAGCAGGAGTGAAATTTTGTGTTTCAGAGTGATACAAATAACTGGCTATTTGTAAAAAAAATTGTAGTACGAATAAATTCCGATACAAATAATTATTATACAGATGTATTCTTAAACAAATCTACCGTTCAGTAACAGTATTTCTGTGCATGAGGGTGCAGTGTTTCCTTAAACATAGGTGTACAGCTCTATCTAGTGGTTAAAAGCAGTTACAGTACAACTCAAGCCCATGAGAGACTTTGTGCTGTGCACATTTGTTTATTTACACATTCCTGATGTCAAGTAATCAAGCTGTTGATTGGCTCTTACCCAGCAGACTGACGTAAGCCTGGCTAACCTTTCCCCAACGCTGCCGGTGTTCAGGTGAGGAGACCAGCATGGGTTCCTTCACACCTGAGCCGTACAGGTTAGTGCGACCGTTGGGAAACGGAATTCCGTTATCCGAGCTGTAGATCACCAGAGTGTCATTTTCAAATCCCCGCATCCCGTAGTTCTTGAAGAACCAGGCCGATACCTTTGAAATCAAACAGAAAATTTGTGAAGATCTATGCATGCAAATTTGTAAATATTACTGTGAATGGTGTAAAATATATAACCTTGGTCCAGCCGGCTGACCGTCGTGTATTGGGCTGCAATATCCACCCTCCCTGCAGGTGTGTCTGGAATAAAGTATGGTACCTAGTCAGATATGAAGATACTGATGGTTAGGAACTTAAACTAATGACTTTTCAAATTTTTCCTTATTAGTAAGGCTCACCTTGACCTGGTCTGGAGAGTAATACTTCGGCTCCCAATCCGGAATTCTCCCCATTCCGCTCTCTCCATTCCCAAACTTTTCACAGAACACTCCATACTGAGGCTGGGAATGGCCACAACGGTGAGGATCATGGATCGCCACATAGAGAAAGAACGGCCGTTCCTCTTCCGTCTCACTCCTCTCCGCTTTCTGGCTTTGGAAGAATTTCCGGACAAGGAGCTTGATCTTGGTGATATTCTGACCCACCTGCAGAACAGAATTGGTCTCTTCCGTGTAGGCAAAATCGAACGGGTATACAGGGCCCGGACCAACATGTTTTTTCCCAATTATACCTTTCCAAAGAAAAACAATCATGAAATCTGTCAAATTCCAACATTTTCCAGGACTCACTTGTGTTTTGAGTGTTTAGTAACAAATTATAAGTTAGTTTTCTCTCTATACTGGGTTTCTGCATCCATTAAGCACAAAAACGTGTTAAAAGGTGTTTGAAATTTGTACAAAACTTTAGAAATTGATATGTCGTACAGATATGCTTCGTTGGTACCAATCTGTCATATTATTATCAGGACTCAAAACAGAAACAAGCCCAAAAGTCATAATAGTTAGATGCTACTTTCCAAAATTTCTACGAAAAACTTGATATTCGTAGAAAAAATAAATTGTATATATACACACACACACATTATGTTGGTAACAAGCTGTTGTTCTGTAGAAAGATACATCTGATAGATAGATCATCTGATCTAAAAATAGAAACAAGCACAAAAAGTGCAGTACTGAGCCTTTCTTCATTAACGTACAAAAAAAAAATGTTGCGAAAAATGTGTTATACTGATACAAATTTGTAAAATTTGATTTCTTCTATCATCTGACCTAAAATACATAAATGAGCCACAAAAGGTGCATGAGTGAGATTTCTGTTTCAGAGTTGTATGAATAACTGCCTTTTCTTCGTACAAATCTCCATACAGAAACAATATATTGGTACAAATGTTATACTGATACAAATTTGTAAAAGAATGTTCTTCTATCATCTGACCTAAAATACATAAATGAGCCACAAAAGGTGCATGAGTGAGATTTCTGTTTCAGAGTTGTATGAATAACTGCCTTTTCTTCGTACAAATCTCCATACAGAAACAATATATTGGTACAAATCAGTCACTCTCCAGAAAAACAGTTGTCGTATCATCTGGCCTTAAACACAGAAACAAATGTGAAAGATGTTCTTTTTTTCAGAGTTGTACGAATAATTTGTGATACAAATAATAATCATACAGCTCTACACTGGCACAAACCTGTCATTCAGTAGAGAGTTTTTCTGTTATTTGACCTCAAACACAGAAACAAGTGCATTAACATGAAAATTTATATTTTGAGCATTTTTATATTCAGAGTTTAATAGGTCTTCATCATACCTGTGTGAATGTTGGCTTGTTTCAGGAGAAGAGGAAGACTGCGCACTCCATCAAATGAGTTAAAGTGATGAACTCCTTGATGGAGGCCGTACATCCCATTCTGGTGCTGTTGATCAGAAAAAAGCTCAAGGGAAGTATATCCAATGGTCAGGGCTAAAATAGAGAGTTTTACCTTTTGGTTGCCTGTGGTAGTCCAGTCAGGATGGTGGAACGACTTGGTGAGCAGCTGCTGACGGAGGTGAAGGCGTTCTTGAAGATCACACTGCGCTCAGAAAGAGCCCGGAGATGAGGGGTCTGGACCACAGAGTTGTTGTAGACATCTGTTTCGAACCCACCATCATCAGCTGTGTTGTACAACAGACCATAGACACAACATTAATACAATGTAAATACAATATAATACAAACATCAAAACAACATAAATACAACATAACACAAACTTCAAAACAACATAATACAAGCATAAAACAACCTAAATACAACATAACAACAATACAAGCATCAAAACAACCTAAATACAACATAATAACAATACAAGCATCAAAACAACCTAAATACAACATAATAACAATAGAAACATCAAAACAACCTAATACAACATAACACAAACATCAAAACAACCTAAATACAATATAATAACAATAGAAACATCAAAACATAACACAAACATCAAAACAGCCTAAATACAACATAACAACAACACAGACATAACAGTATAAATGAGTTATTCTGTCAAATCAGTATTTATAAAAACACATGATTGTTTTACTACACACCAATAATGAGAAGCACATTTCTTCTTCTGCACTCTCCTACATCACAACAAACCAGAAGACCCAACAAAGTCCACGCGAACAGAAACGACATTTTAGTGTCATTTGCCACCAAAAATGTTACTAAGGCAAATGCAAAAGTCTTTACTTTGTTTACACTCAGCGAGACAAACTTCCGCCATGTGAATCCATCACATGACCGCGATCAGCTGACGCGAAGCCTCAGCCAATCGCGTCGCGCGTCGCTGCTGACGCCACAAAAAGGCTGCTGCTGTTCAAACCGCGCTACACGTCAGAGTCGCACTGATTGCTCAAATGTTTCATTGTATCTTTATGTTTGGTGTAAATATTGAGAATACTGCAGCGGAATGTTTGAACTCCGATGAAACACGAGGCTCAAAGGCTTCTCTGAGGTTTGATCTTTAACTTGAATTCACATTGTGCCTATTATCATTGATCTCAACTCTCAGTTTGGTTTGTAAATACGGTTATCTAACAGATATTATTATTATTATTATTTAGATTAGATTATTAGATTTACATTGCACTGTGTACTCAGGTCATGAGACCCTTTCAAAACTTTGACCTAATCAGATATAAGGGTATTTTAGACATTTTGCGTTTTGTATCTCGTTATTGTAATACAAAATAATAATAATAATAATAATAAACAAACAAATAAAATGTAGTGTTTTTATTGGAAAATATTTATACATGAGGTTAGTCATTTTAAGGGTGTTTTTTTCTTTGCATTTTACACTGTATCTTGTTACTGTATTGTAAAAAATAAAATAAAACAAATATGTTGATTTATTATTTATAAGTTTAATGAATTTATACTAGAATTAGTCATTTTAGTAATTTTTAAGGGTGTTTTTAAGATCAATACACGTTTTTTTTTTAGCATTTCTCATTTCTGTAATGCATAAATAAATAAATAAATAAAATATTGTTTTAATTTTAATATATTTATACGTGACATTAGATATTTTTGTGCTGCTGTTTAAATTCATGCTAATTTAAATTTAAAAAAAGTTTTTGAACAGAATGTTTCTTACTACTGTATTAACTTAATGAGAATGTAATGACAATCATCACTGGATGCATGGTTTATTAAAATAATGTCCCAATGGTAATGCATTGTTTATACCAAAATCAGGCTTAATTTTCTTCAGGCAAAATATCATGTATTATTTTGGTGTATTTCAGGGTGTGGCACACGGATTCACATCTGAACAAGCGATTTCACAATCAGCAGTGTTTGAATCTCGTGATCATGTGTTTTATAGCTTGCAGTCATGCTGTCTTGTAGTTTTAGGTTTATAGTTTTTCTAACTAGTGGTGTTGAATTCTCCACAGATATACTTTCAACAACAACAACAACAAAAAACTTATGGAGAAGCAAGAAGCAGCTTTTTGGATCTTAAGGTTTTGACTAGCATACGGCCAAGAAGAGCTTGTCAGCTCCACCCTTCCCATGATCTTGTTTGTCCACACCATCTGAGTGGCGTTCGACATCCTGGATGAAGCACTACAGCTCTTTTCACGATCCTTAACTGATGGTGTTTTGGTGGACCTGAAGGTCAGCAGATCTGGGATCTTCTGATGGAGCGGGTGTCAGGTATCCGCTGCTGTGCCGCCCTGCGCTCTTGTTTTCCCATACTCACCTGGCTCCCGGGGTATAACCTGACCTGGCTGAAGATGGACCTGATCGCCGGTCTGACGGTGGGGTTGACGGCGGTTCCTCAGGCTCTGGCCTACGCGGAAGTGGCTGGTTTACCTGTGCAGGTAAGAACATTCACGTTCTTCCACAGACTGAGACTGAGGGAGGTTTTCTTGACACACCGATTATTTGTTTTCCAGTACGGCCTGTATTCTGCGTTCATGGGTGGTTTCATCTACTGTATATTTGGCACATCTAAAGACATCACGCTGGGCCCGACGGCCATCATGTCGCTGCTGTGTTCGGCGTATATCGGTGGAGATCCTGTGTTTGCGGTGGTGCTCACACTGCTGTGTGGCATCATCCAGGCAGGAATGGCTCTACTGAGGCTGGGTAAGATGGGAAGTGGGGTTATTGTTAACATTAAGGTTAATTTTTTTATGAATTTTTGTTTTAAATATTTATAAATAGCTTTTAGTTTTGTTTCAGTTTTAGTAAATTTAAAGTAGTTGTAGTTAACCATATCAACACTTATTGTACTGAGTGTAAACTTTTAAACAGATCTTTTTTTGTGGATTGTACTATTAAAAAAATATGATTTATTAACATTCTAAGTATATACTCCGAAGTTTACATAAAGTATGACTGAAGTGATGCAGCCAAGAAGATAAAGCAGACTCAGCTGCCTGTAAATCAGTACCGTCTTGAAAACAGGAAGTTTGTGGGTTTTTTCTCTCACATAAGTAACAGATTCTATTACTTCCTGTTCAACTTCCTGCTTGCGCCTGTGAAGCCGCACACCAAAATGTAGCAACAGGTTTTAAAAATGTGACAACTGAGGTTGTTAAAGTGACTAAGTGATTAAATTACTCGTCGCAGTCGCGATTCAATACGTGTGTCTTTTTCTTCTGTGTGAAATAATCATAAATATCAGTTTATGCTGTTTGATTATGGCCTCGAAGGTTGTAGTTGGAAGCTGT